TCAAACATTATATATGTTGTGTTTGTTTAGGCTACAGTGGGTTAGCCTATAGGGGGTACACAATTCTAGGGTTAGGTACTTGTACTGATTTCACTGCTAGTTCAATCATTCCTGTCTGTTGATTCCGACAGTTTCATGAATTTTCCTTGATTCTAGACAGGTGGCACGCGGAACACTGTTCATCCCGGATATCTCCGAGTTACTGTTCATAACGAAGTCCGGTTGACTTCGTCAATGACGAGATGCGTGACTGTTACTTCCGGCGAGTTACAAACAGTTTTCGTCTAAAACAGCAGGTCGCACAAATTGAAAACGGAGGAAAAAAATAAGAGTTGAAACGTACAGACTCGAGAATCGATCTCGAGTCTCCCAATCGCAAGTTGACCCGATCGGATTTCGGACAGATTCGGTACAGAGCGGTTTTCTGGCTTGATTTTTTTTTTACCTAAAACGATCCGCTCTCACTAACTGTCCCCAAAGTGTCTTTGGGGACAGTTTCAATTTACAATTGAGCCACTAACAAGACATTTCAAATTTGTGTCAGCTCGGGGACAGAGCATTTTTGGTGATGCAAAATGTTGACATCCCAAAACGTTCCCACCAAATTAGCTTCCCCGCAAGAGACTTTGAGGTCTCCCGTAAATGACCCAGATCTGTCTTCTAGCCCGAAAGAGACTTTCGGGACATATATACCTGCGTCCCGAAGATGTCCCATCCCGAAATTGTCTTACAAAATCGAGAAATTTGTCTTGAAAATGCCCCATGACCTAGTGGTTTCGAAAGTCTGTAGACCGAAAGGTCATAGGTTCGAATCTTGATGTCGGTACATGACGAGCGTGACTTCTATTTTTTACCCATGATTTAATTCGGAGATTTAGTTCATGGATATAATGAAGTTAGAGTTTATTTTGATGTTTTAATTTCGTTTTAAGAACGAAACAGGACTTCAAATAATGTGCGAATTTTACCTTTTCCCGACTGGTGTTCAACATTTTTACTCCGCGAAACACGCCCAACGTCTATGGGATATTGTCGAGTCTGCTTATAGGTTGCACACCACGAAACACAGGTAACTGAGCCCAGTTCCTCGCCAAATTTGTAAGTCAAACCCCCCTCCCCCTTCCCCCCCCCCCCCCTTCCCCCCCCAACCCCCCCCACCCCTTCCCAGTTTCTCGCCAACTTCGTAAGTCAATCCCTCCCTCCCCCCTCCTTCCTTCCCCAACCTCCCCCCACCACAAACAATCGATCGAAGCGGTGGCGGAAATATTATGCCCCACGGATGAACGCCAACTCAGCGTCATCCGAAGGGCACAATACTTTTGCGCCACCTGTCATGCACACCTCACAATCACCTGCCAGCTGCCCCAAGAACGCACACATCCTCACAAAAATGTGGGGGAAAGTAGCTTTGGCAGGGGTAGTACTAGCGACCCTGCGCTTCGAAGGGGACTACAGTGCCAGTAGCGGGCACTTTCCACCCATCCGTGCCTCAGACAGGAAAGTTATGGAAACAAGACAGTAATCTTCACCACATTCATCCACATGTCACCAATTTCCAAGCCAACTACTGTACAGAACAACCTGACCAACTGTGCGCAACTGAATTTTGTCCCTTCTGCCAAATCGAGGCCAATCTGACCGCGGGCAAAAAATATAAACCCCAGTCGGACTGCATGCCATTCGGGAGCCTCAACCCTAAAATTTTAGGGTTGATGCTCCCGAATTGAAAAATATAAACCCCAGTCAGACTGCATGCCATTCGGGAGCCTCAACCCTAAAATTTTAGGGTTGAGGCTCCCGAATGGCATGCCTTCTATGTGGGGTTTATTTTTTTTACTTGCCCGCTGATTCATTGCACTGCCTGCTGACGGGGCCTGTGTTCCGAAATTTAGGGCGCGAAACAATAACATATCAGATTGTGGAACAGTGTGGCAGCCAACCACCCAGAGTGTGAATTCGATTAGGATTATGGTGACACGTGGGTGAATGTGGTGAAGATTACTGTCTTGTTTCCATAACTTTCCTGTCTGAGGCACGGATGGGTGGAAAGTGCCCGCTACTGGCACTGTAGTCCCCTTCAAAGCGCAGGGTCGCTAGTAGTACCCCTGCCAAAGCTACTTACCCAAAATGTGGTACAGCTAAAACGTTCACGCCACCCTTCATAAACCCTTGAGTTAGAACTCTCTCTCATTCTTGGACATGTTCGATTTTAAAGTCTAGGCTTCTAGACACTCCTCTCATAGCTCTACTTTGTAGGTTATTACTAATATGTGCATTAGTCTTGTATCCGCCATGCTGGTTTCTAGTGTCAACTTACTCGTACCCTTCCAATCATTACCCATTCTAATAACTACAGTTTTCTCGCTTCCCGCCCCTCCGTTCCCCCCATCGCCCCGTGCAGGCGCCGCCATTTCATCTTCGCGGAGCTGCATGCCGTGACTGAAGGCGTAGGGAGGGGGGTTGCAAAAGTGTACCGTGGGCGGATGATGCTGCCTGCGGGAGAACGCGGCGCCAGTGGCGACGGAAGCCTCGCGGCTGTCTCTGGTTTCATCACAGGCTACGGCGAACGGGAGTATGATGTGATGGTCAGATTTAAGTAAGCATGGCAATCACGGTATGCCAAATTTTAGTCCTGTTTTTTTATTCCCTTGTTCTTTCATGTCCCAAATCAGGCGGATGGGAAAGGTTACGTTGGTACGTAAGCTAACGATGAAACTTCTAATGCTTTAGTTTCTGTTGATGTGTGCTGATGCAGCTAAGCGCTTAAAATGTATGACAATTTTTTTTTTAATGTTGCAGGACTGTAATGCGGTACCCAGCTCCACTGTGTGTACTAACGAGATAGCCTTACTTGTCACTTTTTACGGTAGCATTATTTGTCACTATCTCCGGTAGCATTATTTGTCACTTTCTGCGTTCCTGTGGCTACTAGTTTGACTTGTTAATTGCAGGAATTGGTGTGCATTGATGAATTTGCCACCCTGTAGAGTTTGTTGATCAAGCTGCAATTATTTACTGATAACGGATGTGAGCCCTGCAGGGGTTGGTTTGTTTCCAAGGATGTGTCACTAATGGGGTCCTGGTTCTATTTTATTAGTTGGGATTGGTTTTTTTCTTTTGCGTTGTAGGTATTGAAGTGTATTGATGTAAATGTTTTATGGAGTTATTTTCATCATTGGCATTAATGAACCGAACCGCATAGCAAGCACCCGAGTCGCGAATTCTCAAAGCGCACCAATCTGTGATTGGATGGGAACATGTCTCGAATGTGTCCTGAATGTGTCTCTGAACCGTCCCGAAAATGTCGCCATTGGTCCACAGAAAGACTTTTGGGCAGATGCTAAAGAGTCCTGCGGGACATTATCAGGACTCTTTGAACCGTCACTACAGAATTCCCGAAAGACCCTTTCGGGACAGGGGTGCAAAATGTCCCGAAAGTCTCTTGCGGGATACTTTCGGGACGCTTTTGGGGCCTCGGAATTTGGCGAGGCTGTTCATGCAGTAGTACCCAGCATGAGAACAAGCAGGTTCAGGAGAATGCATATGGATACCATGGTTGTAATGGTGGGTATCAGCACACGGCACTACACTACGTATCAATGCTCAACAACGCACGCTTATCAACGCACACCATTAGACTGCTTACCAGCGCTCACTCACCTTTACACTGCGTATCAGCGCTCACCATCGCACGTCCTCGTGGTGGCGTTGAAGACGAGATCCCCCGCGCACACGTGATCAAGCGTGCACATCAGCTCACAGCGTGCACATCAGCTGTCTTAACAGCACTCACCATTGCAAGTCCTCGTGGTGGCGTTGAAGATGAGATCCCCCGCGCACACGCACTGCGCTGCCTTGTCCTTGACCGTGCACCGAGCAGCCGTCCCACAGTCCTGATTGCAGGCTTTAGCGGCACGGCATGGATGGGTTGGGCACATGGAAAGAGGGGAAGGGGAGGGAAAAGAGCGGTGGTGCTTGGTGCACACGTGACCCACAACCAGGGTGCAGGGACTTGAGCCTATTGCATCGCACAACACCATGCACAGCACCATTGCACCGCACAACACCATGCACAACACCATGCACCGTGCACACGCGCCCTGCCACGCTTTTGCTGATTGCTTGAACGACGCAGCACTCACAGCGGCACTGCCTGTCGCTGGCGCTGTAGGCCTGGGAGTCGGGGCACACGCTCTGCGGGCTGCCGTTCCTCACCGCGCACACTGCCGGTGACCCGCAGCTCATAGCCTCAGGGCAGTCTGTGGGACGGCCGTGGGTCACAGGGAGGAGAGGCACCGTAAGAAGTGGGACGGGAGGGGGAAGGGGGGGAGTAGCGGAGGGTGGCACTTTCTCAGCAGAGGGTCAGATAAGCTAGTTTTTCACATGCGCAAGGGAATGTGGGGCTGCGGAATGGACGCTGGGAAAATTTCCGGGGCGCCTGCATCGCGGAAAAGGGAAATTGCGTTTTGGGGTGTCCGAAGGTTTTTCTGCGTGGGGCTTGCGTGATTGTTGCGACAAGTGTCCGAAAAACAAGGACCGTAAAACGCAACATTGGCGCGATCAATAACCGCACACTGGACCACAACATTACCGCCACCAAAATGTCACTTTGGGGTCACCTGAGCCATTATCCGCGCCGCCTCCACGAATGCGCCTCGAACACATGCGGCTCGAGCCAAAAACGCCACACATACTCGGTATTGTCGTGTCGCCCCTCCCCCGCTACAGGGACCACAGAAACGATAAATGCACACCTACTCCGAGCAACTGTATATACTGAACAAACCAAACTACACTGCTCTGCACACCGTCTACTTCATAATGTGTAAACCGTGTCATTCGCTTGCAACTCCAGCACTCAGCAATACAAAGTACAACATCACACAAAACCAAACCCTACTCTCCACCAGCAACCACAACTACAAAGATGAGCCCACCCTTCGAGGCATGCCCTCCAACAAACACTCCCCCCACCCACTACAGCATCAAAACCAAGCGCACTACACGGACCCACTGTCCGACGACCCCGAACTGCGCGCTCGCTTCTTCGGTGTGCGGCTTAGGCGGCTAACCACCTCTCCATCAGAGGCGCCAACGACAGTCGCCACCTCCGCAGGAGCAATCCCCAGCGCCTCCGCGTGACACACGTACGCGTTCGTCACATTGCGGATGGCACGTCGTCGGCTTCGTTCGTCACGCATCAGAGGCCCATCCGGCAGGCACATCTCGCCCTCGTCCCCTGAAGACGTCGGCGTCGTTGGTGTCACCAACTTCACACCAGCCTTCTCCATTAACCACTCATCGCATGTCACGTAATCGGACACCGGCATATAAATAGCCGGCCGCACACGGAACTCACGTAGCAGCACCAGGAGGTCCGCCGTGGTAGAGACCAGGGGATCGTACATGCCGGCCGAGTACATGCCGTGCAGGTGCCACATCAGCTCCCACCATGACTCCGGGACGCATCCCGCCCTCCACCAGCTCCTTTGCATCGTTGCCGCCGTCAGCGCCTTCCATGCCAAGCCCACCCACAGCAGCATAACACCGTATTTCACCAGGGAAATCGGCGCCTCGAAATCCTCGTGGAACAGATTGGACCGCACCGCGCGTCTCATCAGTATCACACGATACTCAGCCTTGAAAGCGTCCACCACGCCGTGCAAAAACGGCATACTGGACCAGTGCACAACGTCTGTCAGGTCCACAAAGCGTGTGTGCGTGAAATGCACCATAGTCAGCCCATGCTCCACCGTGGTCTCCGCGTCATTCGCGGTAATGCGGTGCGCCGTGTTGTAGGTGAACACAACCGTCTTCCTTCCACGGCTAAGCTGCACCCCATCAACCGTCTGAAAAAACTCGGTAAACACCTGCGCACCGCCAAGCCACGACAGCGCCAGCGCGGAATTAGGGTTGTTAAACTGTATTATGCTTGTAGGCTGTAGTGGGGTAGCCAATATGGGGTACAACCCCAACTAGGGTTTCATATTTGTACCCAAACTTCTGTTAGTTGATTCATTCTTGCCTAGTGATTATGAGATGGTATTCAGAGCAGGAGGTCCCTAGGACCTACCGACCGTTTTTTTTTTAAGGGCCCACCACCGCTCGCATGCGGTTACCACGCTACCCCGTGCCCTAGCCTCGTAGCGCCCTCGTGCGCCCACGTTAGCGCCCTCGCGCGCCCCTCGTTAGCGCCCTCGTGCGCCCCTCGTTAGCGCCCTCGCGCGCCCCCTTCGTTAGCGCCCTCGCGCGCCCCTTCGTTAGCGCCCTCGCGCGCCCCTTGCTAGCGCCCTCGCGCGCCCCTCACTAGCGCCCTCGCGCGCCCCTCGCCGAGCCGCCCGCTCGCAGCCCGCCCGCCCGCTCGCTGCCCGCTTCGCGGCCCGCTCACTACGCAGCCCGCCCGCCCGCTCGCTGCCCGCTTCGCGGCCCGCCCGCTTCGCAGCCCGCTCGCTCGCTGCCCGCTTCGCGGCCCGCCCGCTTCGCAGCCCGCTCGCTCGCTGCCCGCTTCGCGGCCCGCCCACTTCGCAGCCCGCCCGCCCGCTCGCTGCCCGCTTCGCGGCCCGCTCGCTACGCAGCCCGCCCGCCCGCTGCCCGCTTCGCGGCCCGCCCACTTCGCAGCCCGCCCGCCCGCTCGCTGCCCGCTTCGCGGCCCGCTCGCTACGCAGCCCGCCCGCCCGCTGCCCGCTTCGCGGCCCGCCCACTTCGCAGCCCGCCCGCCCGCTAGCTGCCCACTTCGCGGCCCGCCCGCATCGCAGCCCGCTCGCCCCGCTGCCCGCTTCGCAGCGTCGCCCGCCCGCCGTGCTGCCCGCTTGCAGCGCCGCCTGCCCGCCGCGCTGCCCGCTTCCCGGCCCGTCCGCCGCGCTGCCCGCTCGCAGCGTCGCCCTCCCGTCGCGCTGACCGCTTGCAGCGCCGCCTGCCCGTAGCGCCAGCCTCGCCCGCTGCTCTCTATCCGTGCACAGTCGCCTTCCCCTGCTGCGGCAGCTTGCGTTACTCTGTCACACTGTCGCTATGGCTTCCATCCGCGTGCTGTCGTTCGATGCTGAGGGCCGCCCTGTGCGGTTCACCGCTTGGCTAGATGACCTGCAGCTGTTCCTCCTGAGCGATAGCAAGGAGCATGTGTCGCTCTATGATTACGCGTCTGGTGCTGCGCCTGCCCCTCCTGCCACAGCTGAGCTTAGTGTTCGTTCCCACTGGCAGACTCGTGACGCAGCTGCTCGCCTAGCCATTCGCAGTCACCTGCCGTTAGCTGAGCTAGAGCATTTTGGCGACTGCAAATCCGCTAAGGCCCTGTACGACGCTGTCGTCGCTCGCTACTCCTCGCCTGCCACAGCCGAGCTTAGCCGCCTCATGCTGCCGTACCTGTTCCCCGATCTGTCCACCTTTACTACAGTCGCCGATCTTATCACCCACCTTCGCACTAGTGATGCTCGCCTGCGTGCTGCCCTTCCCACCGAGTTCTGCGCTAAGAACCCCCCTCCACTGTACTGGACACTCCACTTCATAGTCACCCGACTCCCTGACACCCTCAGCTCAGTTCGAGACCACTTCCTTGCTCGCTGTCCCACTGAGCTCACAGTCGCCCTCCTAGAGGAGCAGCTGCTAGCGGCCGAAAAGAGCATTGTAGCTGTCGGTGCTGCTCGTGGCGCTCCTCGCACCCCCATCTTTGAGGGGTGTTCTCCCTCTCCCCTCGCTCCCTCCTACACTACTGCTGCTGCTGTTGACTTCCTTGGTGCTGAGTCTGCTGGCGCTGCTTCTGCTCCTGGTGGGAGGCGCCGCACCGGCAAGGGCAAGGGGGGCAAGGGTGGCGGGGGTGGCGCTGGGGGGGGAGGAGGTGGGGGAGGTGGGGGGGGAGGCGGTGCTGGAGGGAGCGGTGGCGGGAGTGCTGGTGGGAGTGGGGTCGGCAGCGGAGGCGGGGGCGGCGGAGGGAGCAGTGGCGGTGGTGGCGGCGGCGGCGGTGGCGGCGGCGGCGGCGGTGGCGGCGGCGGCGGTGGCGGTCGGAGCGGAGGTAGTGGTGGTGGCGGAGGTCGGAGTGGAGGCACTGGCTCGGGCCAGAGCTCCCAGCAGCAGCAGCGTCCCCAGACGACCCAGCAGCTTCGTGAGTGGCTTGCTCAGCGTGGGACGTCGGGGGCCAGTGCACGCTGTTCTTATGTCATTCGCACAGGTGACCGCAAGGGACAGACGTGTGGGAGGTTCCACACCCCGTACCGCTGCTTCTCCCGCCTTGACGACGCTTGGCGTGAGGAGATGGGTGCGGATGTTGAGCGCCCCCGCTGGGCTGAGCTCATGAGGGCTGGTGTTGATGTCTTTGCTCTTGACTATGATGCTATTATTGCTGCCATGTATGCATTGACTGTTAGTGCCGAGGGAGACTGTTACTTGTGTGTGCCGCCTGACCCAGGTATAGAGCCCGCTGCCCTGGGTACTAGTGAGTCTGCTCTCTCTGGTATGGTGCCCCCTGTACTTGCTCCCCCCAGTGCTGTCCCGGCTAGTTTCGAGTCTGCTCTCTCAGGTACAGCACCCACACAGACTCCTCTCTCAGGTACCGCACCGGCTGAGGCCTGTCACACCTTCACCCTTGACTCAGGTGCTTCCCGTTGCTTCTTTCGTGACAGTACTGAGCTCACACCGCTTCCTGCACCGGTCCCAGTCTCCTTGGCTGACCCCTCTGGGGGCCCAGTCCTTGCCCAGTCCACCACTGTCCTCCCTTGTCCGGCGGTTCCGTCTGGCTCGTTGTCGGGTTTCCACCTCCCCTCGTTCTCGACGAACCTGGTGAGCAACGCTGTCCTCCAGGATCAGTGGGTTGACACCTTTACCCCTGGCGGACAGCGTGTGGCGATCTGCACGTGCTCCAGGACCGGCCGTCACCTGGCTACATTTACCCGTCGGCCGGGGTCGAGTCTCTACACACTGACCACTGCGTCTCCCCAGGTAGCTGCTGTCGGTCAGGTGTCTGCGTCAGGTCTGGTGGCCCACGCCTGTGAGTGTCGTTCCCTGTCGCACCAGACTCTTCTCTGGCACCACCGCCTGGGTCACCCCTCCTTGCCACGCCTTCGTGGCATGCACCGTCGCCTCCTTGTGTCTGGTCTTCCCAGGTCCCTCCCTCCCCTCCCTGCCTCGCCTGCGCCGCCTTGCCTTCCTTGCGTCGAGGGGCGGCAGCGCGCCGCTCCTCACTCCTCCTCGTTCCCCCCGACAGAGGCTCCTCTGGAGACCCTCCACCTGGACGTGTGGGGCCCAGCCCGCGTTCGTGGTCAGGGCGGTGAGCGGTACTTTTTGCTGGTTGTCGACGACTACTCGCGTTACACCACGGTCTTCCCCTTGCGCACCAAGGGTGAGGTCCCTGCTGTTCTGATCCCTTGGATCCGCACCGTTCGTCTCCAGCTCCGCCGCCGTTTCCGGACGGATCTTCCTGTCCTGCGTCTGCACTCTAACAGAGGTGGTGAGTTTTCCTCCGATCTCTTGAGGACCTTCTGTCAGGCGGAGGGCATCGAGCAGACCTTCACGCTTCCGGACTCCCCACAGCAGAATGGGGTTGCTGAGCGCCGCATTGGCCTGGTCATGGAGGTCGCTCGTACCTCCTTGGTCCACGCGGCGGCTCCCCATTTTCTGTGGCCGTTTGCTGTCCGGTACGCCGCGCATCAGCTCAACCTCTGGCCCCGTGTCTCCTTACCGGAGACCTCGCCCACACTGCGTTGGACGGGGGAGGTTGGCGATGCGTCGCGCTTCCGGGTGTGGGGTGCTCGTGCCCTTGTCCGCGATACGTCCGCGGACAAGCTCTCCTCCCGCACGCTTCCCTGTGTCTTCCTTGGCTTTGTCCCTGACGCGCCTGGCTGGCAGTTTTACCACCCCACCTCGCGCCGGGTCTTCGCCTCTCAGGATGTCACCTTTGACGAGTCGGTCCCTTTTTACCGTCTCTTCCCCTACCGCACTGCCCCCCTCCCTCCCCCGCCGCTTTTCCTTGCTCCTGGTCCCCCTCCGGTAGACCCCCTTCCCCCTCAGGGTCCTGCTCCTTCAGGTGTCTCTCAGGTAGACCCTCCTCCCGTCGCTGAGCCTGTCGAGGTCACAGGTGACTCAGGTGCTGCTGCGGGTGGTGCTGCTGGGAGTGCTGAGCCTGGGGGTGCTGAGCCTGGGGGTGCTGGGCCTGGGGGTGCTGGGGCTGCAGGTGCTGGGACTGAGGGTGCTGGAGCTGAGGGTACGGTGCCTGAGAGTACGGAGCCTGGGGGTGCTGCGCCTGGGGGTGCTGAGCCTGCGGGTGCGGGGCCTGGGAGTGCTGGGACTGCGGGTGCTGGAGCTGAGGGTACTGTGCCTGAGAGTTTGCCGCCTGGGGGTGCTGAGCCTGGGGGTGCTGCGACTGGGGGTGCTGAGCCTGCGGGTACTGAGCCTGCGGGTACTGAGCCTGGGGGTGCTGCTACTGAGCCTACGGAGCCTCGGGTTACTGCGTCTGGGGGTGCTCCGGTTCGGGGTGCTGAGCAGTCTCTCACACCGCAGCAGCTTCGTGACTGGTACGTCCGACGCTTTCGCCGTCCTAGTGGCTCGGCTGGAGTTTGGGGTGCTGGAGCTGCTCGTCCTGGGGGTGCTCGTACTGGGGGTACTGGAGCTGCCGGGACTGGCTGTTCTGGGAGCACTGCGACTGGAGCTGCTGGAGCTGGGGACTCTGGCGCTGGCGGTGCTAGCGGAGTTGGAGCTGCCGACTCTGGGGGTGGCGCTGCTGCTGGTGCTGCGGACCCACCTGGTGGAGCTGCTGCTGGTGCTGAGGAGTCGGACGGTGGAGCTGCTGCTGGTGCTGTGGACCCGGACGCTGGAGCTCCTACTGGTGCTGAGGACCCGGCCGCTGGAGTCCCTTCTGCTTCTGGAGACGCTGCGCGGCCGCGACCGTACTTCGTACCGCTCCTTCAGCAGGTTCTTGGGCAGGCTCCTCCTCCTTGTCCTCCTCCCTCCGTAGAGTGTCCTCCGCCTGTCCAGCCGCAGTCACAGTTACCGCCTGCCTCGCCTCTCCCTGCTCCCTCTCCTTATACTGGTCCCACAGGAGGTCTTACAGAGCGTCGTGAGCCTGAGTCTCGTCCTGCGTCGCCTGTTCGTCCTGCTCGCACTGGTAGTCGTGTCCGTCGTGAGCGTCCTCCTCCTGTCCCAGGCACTCACTACATGACTCTGCGTCCCTCTACTGCTCCTCGGCGTGTCCCTCTACCGTCTCCTCCTGCGTCCTCTTTGCCTGCCGTTCCGGACCCTGAGTCTGACCGGTATCGCGCTGAGCACCCTACAGTCACGCGTCTCCTCGCTACTGTTGTCACTGACCCTACCTTTGAGTCCTCGGCTGCGTCTGCTCTGGTCGCTGAGTTGGTTGACTTTGCTGCTGCCTGTCGTCTAGACTACGCTGCTAGCCTTGTTGCTGAGCCTGCGTCTGCGTCTGTCTGTCCTCCGTCCGTCGGGGGTGAGTGTGCTCTTGGCACGGACGTCCTTGAGGACAGGCAGGAGGACTTTGACTCTCTTGCGGCTGCTGTACCTCATCTCGTGGCCTGGTTGCTTGCCCCTGAGGGAGACCCGGATGCGCTAGACATCCCCACTCCGCGCACTTACGCAGAGGCGATCTCGGGTCCCTACTCCTCTCAGTGGCAGACAGCCATGGACGCAGAGATGGCATCCTGGAAGTCCACAGGCACCTACGTCGACGAGGTTCCCCCTCCTGGGGCGAACATCGTCGATGGCATGTGGATTTTCAGGGTGAAGCGGCCGCCAGGTTCTCCGCCTGTCTTCAAGGCTCGTTACGTTGCTAGAGGCTTCAGTCAGCGTCAGGGGGTCGACTTCTTCCAGACCTTCTCCCCCACCCCGAAGATGACCACTCTTCGGGTTCTGCTGCATGTTGCTGCTCAGCGTGACTACGAGCTTCACTCTCTTGACTTCAGCACAGCGTTCCTGCAGGGCAGCCTGCACGAGGAGATCTGGCTGCGCCGCCCACCTGGCTTTACTGGGTCGTTTCCCCCTGGTACCCAGTGGAGTCTCCGCCGGCCAGTCTACGGTCTCCGCCAGGTGCCACGTGAGTGGCACGACACACTGAGGACTACTCTTGCGGCTCTTGGGTTCGCGCCGTCTACTGCTGACCCGTCGCTGTTTCTGCGCACAGACACGTCGCTGCCGCCGTTCTACATTCTCGTGTACGTCGACGACTTGGTCTTTGCTACTGCTGACACTGAGGCACTCGCTCGTGTGAAGTCGGAGCTGCAGAAGAGACACACCTGCACTGACCTGGGTGAACTGCGTAGCTACCTTGGCTTGCAGATCACCCGGGACAGAGCTCGCCGCACCATCACCCTGACTCAGTCACACATGGTGCAGCAGGTCCTTCAGCGCTTCGGCTTCCAGTTCTCCTCACCACAGGCCACACCTCTGGCTACCAGCCACTCGCTCTCAGCTCCACCTTCGGACGAGTCCGTAGAGCCGAGTGGCCCGTACCCAGAGCTTGTAGGCTGCCTCATGTACCTGATGACTTGCACGCGACCTGACCTCGCGTACCCTCTTAGCATCCTTGCTCGTTACGTTGCGCCTGGGAGACACAGGCGAGAGCACTAGGAGGCTGCTAAGAGGGTGCTGCGTTACCTGTGCAGTACATCAGGCATGGGGCTGGTGCTTGGAGGACGCGACAGAGTTGTCCTCACTGGTCACTCGGACGCCTCTTGGGTGGACGACCTGGCTACGCAGCGGTCGTCACAGGGTTACACCTTCAGCCTTGGCTCTGGTTCTGTCTCGTGGCGGTCCACCCGCTCTTCCTCTGTTCTCGGCTCTAGTTGTGAGGCTGAGATCTACGCCACAGCCATGGCTGCACAGGAGTTACGCTGGCTCACCTACCTGCTGACTGACTTGGGAGAGCGGCCTAGTTCTCCTCCAGTTCTGTACGGTGACAACAAGGCGGCTCTTGCCTTGTGTCAGGAGCACAGACTGGAGCACAGGACGAAGCACATTGCTCTTCGCTACTTTCTTGCTCGAGAGCTTCAGCAGCGCGGTCAGCTTCGGCTTGTGTACGTGGACTCGAAGGCCAATACTGCTGATATCTTCACCAAGGCGCTCCCGCCTAGTGATCATCAGCGGCACTGTACTTCTTTAGGCCTTGTGTCCACGTTTCCTCACTTGCTCACTGCTTGACATTCTTTGTACTGTACTTTATATATATCTTGTTGCTTGCTTGCTAGGTTTTGATCACTGTGTTGCTTGTCTTGTACTATATCTAGCACTGCATGTGAACTGGCCTTGTGGCCTTTTACTTGTGCTCGGAGTGTGGTGACGTTGTGATCCACCCTGGGCTTTGTTTTGCTTTGCTGGACTGGTCTTGTGACCCTTTGTTCTCCCCCACTTTGCCTATGGGGGTGTGTTAAACTGTATTATGCTTGTAGGCTGTAGTGGGGTAGCCAATATGGGGTACAACCCCAACTAGGGTTTCATATTTGTACCCAAACTTCTGTTAGTTGATTCATTCTTGCCTAGTGATTATGAGAAGGGTATCACACAGAAACAGGATTGAAATGCAGCCACAACATTATACACATGTGCTGGTGGGAGTCCACTCGAAATCTGCCCACATACCTCGGGTGTAAGGCGCCCACTCTTCGTGTAGCGCACAATCACCGCCGGTGCAGGATCCCCGCTGCGCCTAGGTTCGGGGCGCTCGTCATGGCGCAACACCACAAGGGGCACCGTGGTGCAGGTCCCCGTCGCATTGTACAAGAAGCCGACACTTATGATCCGGTCGCACGGGGTTCCGTTCCTCCCCGGTATCTTGGTCTTCGGCAACCGGCTGGGCATAAACGGTATCTCCACAAACAGAAACACATCGTCGGGGAGCACTTTCAGCTTCTGTACGATGTCCTTCAACGGGGGCTTCACCGAGCTCATACTGGCCACCAGCACACCCCGGACAACGTGTGCGACGCTGGAGATGAAATGGTGGACGTCCCCAAAATAATCCACCAAAAGCCCAAACCGTACTCTCCACCACCACATGTGCTGCCTTTTAGGCGCTCCACATGTGCAGCAACCACTGAATCGCTCTCCAACTGAACACTGTCCACTAAATGCCAGGCACACAATAGCGCAGTTCCCATTGGCCCAACCTGTCAACCTCTGATGTCGTACACGTCACACAAATGCGCACCTGCCAGTCACACGCACTAGAAATCCGAACATCGAACCATTAGCCCCAGCCACATATCCAATTGGATTCCGTAACAAGAGTGTCCCTGCATTTTAGCCACAAAACCCAAATCCGCACACCAGTGCCCTTAACCAACAACCGTAATAACCAAATCCGTTACAAGCATTGCCTCAATCCACACACCGGCCGCCAAAATTCCAGTATGACGGTGCATTTTCAAAATCCCACATTCCCACCACACAAGCCCACCAAATCAAAGCATGAGACCTGCGTACTATTCTGTTGCGCACGCTCCTTCCCTTACCCAGGTTCCCATGCACCCCTAAATGCCACAATCCCACAATTCCACCCCTTCTAGGAGTGTAACACAACCACCTCCCCTCAGTTCCAAACACACAGCCCTACTCCAATTACTCGCAGAGTAGAAACTTGTTAACCAGCAGCAGACGAGGGTTGCTGTACGATGGGCATACGTGGACAACCCTCTGCAGGCTCTTCAGCAACACCACTGCGAACCGGACACTCTCTCGAGCTGGATGCAACTGGGTGCACGTTGTGATGGGACACTGGCCTGCTGCTTCGTAGTACCTCACGTAGGCACACCCAGTCCACTTGCCCTCCGCGTTCAACGCCTTGAAAATACATAGGCATCTAGCAAACCAATCCCCGCCTTCAGGAGCCAGGAGTGCCACATCTGAGAACAGGTTCTCTCGCGGGGACGCCTTGACGAACGTCCCCTTCGCCACAAGCACCCCACCCTGCGTACGTGGTATGGCCACTGCTGTGTGTGTCTGCAATAAGGCAAGCACCACGCACAAATCAAAGAGGTCAGGCAATGTCACTCGTTCCGCGCACCAAAAACCAACAATCCGTGCACCACAAAAAACAATTACCTGCACACTGCCAGGGTTCAACTGCATCTCCCGCAGCTGACCTGGTAGGCCCGCCATCTGATCCCCAAATACCGCTGCGTACTCGGCAAACACCTTGTCCGCGGTGCCTCCGAGGCGCATGACCCTGAACTTCTTCGTTAGCACTGGCTCCATCTCTTCCACGGCCTGCCGCACACAACCACCGGCGACACAGCATGCACTGAATGAGAGTGCATAGCAAACACGCACCTAGTACAGGGCGTGAGTCGCCCAGCGCACCACCCCTAGTCTTGCTTGCACCCTAACACTCACCATACGCAGCGGTGACACGTACTGCCGACCTCCTCCCGCATCGGTCGCCACTTCTCTGTAAATCTCCCGCTGCATCTCCTCATCCACAATTCTCCTCGGAATGTCAGCCCAGTTGCTCCCCCTCACGGGACCCTTCACTGTCCCCTTGTGAGTGCGCTCCCACATCTCCGTGCTGTAGTGGTGTGGCATCCCCCTTGCTTCCACGTTCTCGAGAAGATGCTTGATCATGTGGATCTTGGGAATTTCCCACTTTGACGCCTGGTCCAGGAAAGCTTTGGGCAGCAGCTCCATCAACCTGCATAGCAAACAGTAGTGTAGCTCAGAGGTTCTAACAGCAGACTGCAAAGCACAGAGTTAAGGGTGCACAAGGATTGCAATCAACACACGTCTCCAACCACCGTACTTACGCAACAGCACGTTGCTTGGCCTCTTTCAGCGTGGCACGGGTGTGCGCCGCCACTCCCAAAAACGCCTTGTAGAACAGGGCGTAATAACGGAATGCTCTAACTTGCAGCGCCCTCAACTCTCCCGCCTCGCCCTTCTTCAAGGCACTAGAATCCGCAATGAGGATCGGCATGATTTGCATCATGGCACGATGTTCGAACGCCGCATAGTGGGCACCAGAAAGGAAGAATGATGATCTCCCAGGAATCCGCAACAGCACACTAGGAGTATCGCTTTTGAACTCCTTTTTCCGCCTGACACGCAATAGGGACCAACGAGCCAGTTACGCCTCTTGGCCAAGCCATAAAACCCGTTCCAAGGCACTGACAAAGCCCTGTCCACCCCAAAACACCGCACTGATGATCTACACGGCTCACCTCTCCAGGATGCGGATCTCGACTTTCCCCAGGGGGGAAAGGTATTCTTCCATCATGTGTACGAAGACACCAGAGTCCAGCACGTGTAAAATGTCAGCCAAACATGCGAGGTAGACGTTCCCCCAGGTGGTGTTCCCAAAGTTCCACCGCGCCAGCACGCACTGCGCACAGAAGGAAGCACGTCACAACCCTATATGTACAGTGTCGCCACGAGTCGAACGAATGTTTCCACGGCACAATGGCAAACTGCAACATACCTCTATCGGATGGGTTGACCACTGGCTCATGTACTTCCGGGCGTTCTCCTTTTTGGCGAACGCAAAATACTGTCGCACAATGTCATTCTGCCGCTCAGGTGTGCGTGGATCTATTTTACCAGTCAGCCGTTTCAGCTCTCCCACTTCTGCATAGCAGTTAGCGCAGGGGCGATGAGTGCCCGTCTGCAGCGTGGCTGAGGCCCTACTGTTCTCTGGATAGTCACCAGGGTACCCATAGAGGCAAGGTACCGCCTTGACCACATTGCCGGTGGCGTCTGTCACATAAAAGTACCTCACAGGAGCACTGGATACAGAAAGGGATTTCGAATAGGTAACGGATCACAGGTACGTCACAAGCAACGCGTATACCGCGTGAAGAACCAACACACATGCCGCCAAACGTACCTTGCGGTTTCCCGCATCAGGGGTCCTAGGATGATCTTCAGCGCCTCCTGGAAAACACGGGCCTTCTCTGTCGGACTAGCCCATTCCGGACAGAATGGCAACACTGTCGCAAGAGTGTGGCCCAGCTCAAACCACCTCAATTCCTCCGGAATGTTAATAAGCGATATCAGAACAGGCCATGCATTCCGCCGCCCGTTGCGCGACGCCTGAGTGCTGTCGCTGTACACGATGACCCCGAGAATCAGAGCCTTGTCGTCCTTGATCTCTTTCTGCCACACGCACACACCGAGGTGGTTATTACAGTACCACGCCCCTGCATCGGACATGCACTGTTTCAGCCAGGCAACGCACCTGCGCCTCGTGCATCCACGTGCCTGTTTCTGGCCCCTCGAAAACGCGCTTCCCCTTCTCGTTGTACTTCTCCTGTGGCTTCCACACGAAACCCTTCCTCCGCGAAAAAATGCGGACTAGCTTCTTCACAAGCTGCACATCAGAGCATGGCCATAGCAAGCATGCGCGACAATACAAATATAGATAGGCACGTTACACGCCATCTGTCACAACACCTAAGCCGAATAAGGGCGGTACGCAGATGACGACAAGCTCACCAGCTCTGTGTCGCGGAAGTGCAAGAGAAGCTTTTGGGACATTCCTCTGGGCCCGTGCACGACGATATGCTCTGTTTTCCATGGAACCATATCTGGCGGCGCACGCTCTTTCCCCCATCGCTTCACGTCGGCGTAGCTGCGCCACTTGCGTAATTCCTTCAAACTGAACTGAGGGTTACGGAATATGTTAAGCAGTAGATTGACTTCACGGCGTGATAAGTCCGCGTCACGGAAAAACAGGTGTAGCTCCGTGAGCGTGTCGAAGAAGTCGGAGACGTCGCTGGCCTCCGAAGAAGTAGAGCTTTTTGAGTCGCCATCGTCCGCCTCATGATCTGCCTCCGTCGCCTGCGGCGGTGAGCCCTCTGGCGGCAAGTTCGTAGGTATAGGGTTGGCTTTGGCCCCAGACGTAGCAGGGATGCGCTGGCGTTTTTGCCCAACACTGTTTAGCGCATCCAGGTAAGCATCAAACATAAGCTGCTCGAGATTTCTCTTCAACGAGTCCCCGCATTTCGTTCTGTCTGAGAGATGAGACTGCAAGTCACGGTCGCTAGGAAATTCCTTACCGCACACTCCGCACTTGTTTCCCGTCATCTCGGACTTGCTACAAACCCTAATCCGACCACTAGCAATGGTAGAGGTAGTCGGTTTTCATATCGTCCACGGCCGTGCGCGGCAACATATGAGCCGTTAGTGCTTCGTACACACTACATGTACGTAAGAATACACTTGGTTGTTCATAAATAGCCATGTGAAGATAGACGATATGTGTATAAGACTACGTCGTTGAAGCAAACAAATAGTGTGCAACTCTATCCGTTTACTATTGATAATATATACCGACATAAATTTGGCCACGAAACAAGAGCAGAAACTGTCAGCCCATTATAAGCGCTATTATATTACAAATCTTCAACGAGACTTTACATGCCGCGTATATGTGCACGTGCTCCCACGTACGCATCCCGTAAACAGGGGCTTTCCCATCCGGCACTGTTTGATCACTGCTACACTGGCCAGGTGGCCCCGTGTCTACACCTTGCCCACAGCGGTGTACTAGCAATTCGTGCGAGGAAGTGCCAATTTCGTACCTTACGTCACGAGCCAGATGTACGCGTTTGTGCATTGTCGTATCACTTTATATCATCATAAGTCGAAACAAATGGGAGTTGGCCCTATCAACTGGACCACTACTTTATCGACGCTACACTCCATTTCGAATTGAAAATGCCTGAAATAAAACAAGTCATACACGCACCCCCGTTATTAGGAGCCTCTCGATGTCGTGCTGGCTACGGAGCAATGACATGCACTCATCCAACTATTCCAGACCATTCTGCGGTGCCCAGCTGTCATCATCTCGGTGACCTGTGCATGATGCGACGAACCTCGAGTAACCCTAATTGGAGATCTGTCATCCATCGGGGGATGTGACCACTTTTGCTGCCTTCTTGCCACGGGCTATTGCGCTTTCCCAAATTCGTTCGCTGGAGAACCCTAACGGTTTTAGTTTGCCGTGGGAACCGTGGCCGGGCCCTAGTACACCTCATTCTGAAATCGCATCCTTTCCCTCATCCCTGCCAACCATGCCTCCGAAAAACGTGCACACCGGCAGCCAAGAATCGAGCGGCTGCTCCGAGTCCGAGATAAGAGAAGTGCGTGCGACAAGGTCGCGTAAGGGAAAGGCCGCCGGCTCTAACAAAAAAAGGCAACGACGGGCGGTGGAGGATGACAAGGGAAAGACCATGGAAGTCGCTGACGGTGCAGCCAGCACGCCTGCTGAACTCCCTCAGCCCGACGATTTGGTGGCGGCGTTGGAGAAGAATTATTACAAAGTCGAATATCGCAACGTGGAGCTCAAGAACCATCGCGACGTGGTCAGCACAGTCGACAAGAAGGATCTCGCCTCCATCGCGGACAACACATGGGTGACTGACGGGGTGATAGACTTCCACAACGTGTGAGTAACGGTTTCGCCCGGCTACGTGCACGTTGTTTTTTTTTTTTTTAACATGATAAATCGCAGCAGGAGGATCCGATGCCCACCCTTTATGCCGACTTTCCAACATGTCCGGCGTGTGTTTCCAGGCTACTAAGCATCCGAGTGCCGAAACTGTCAAACGGGAAGACATGGGCGGCTGTCGATTGCAACAACTTCGCGAACACCACTGAGCACAATACTCCCGTCAATGCTGGAAACGGCCTGCCTCTCCTTGAGCACGACTACCTGGCGGTCCCTATCTACAAGGGGTAATCATCGAGCTGTTTGAGTAGTTCAGCAACACCCGTGAGTTGCATGCATTCTTCATCGGCCGTACTAAACACTGCCGTTTACTGCCGCTTGCCTCCCTGCAGAGAGCACTACTCATTGGTGATAGTCGTATCACCCCACCGTCTGGTGGATAAGATGGCAAGGAAGGATAGCCCTCCGCTGGAAATGGTGTTGTTCGACAGCTCCAAGGCCCCCATGAGTACACAGAAGGTTTTCAGTGGCGCGAATCTGTAAGTGTTTGTAGCATAAGCTGTAATATGGTGGTTGTTAACACCGGCGTGGATGTAACCGGGTTCCTCATATGAGACGTGATGCAGGTTGCTGACAACTCTCGCCAAGCAGACGCACCCACATGTGGACATGTCGAATTTTGAACTGCTGCTGAAGGACGTTCCCTGTCATGTCCTCACGGTAAGGGCGGCTGTTCTGGTGTTTTTGGTGTTAGGCAGTTGAGGTTTATAAGGTGAAAAGCGGCTACCCGGTGTGCGGATTCTTTGTATGCAGGCGAACCACATCCCTAAGCAAGAGAATGGTTTTGACTGCGGAGTCTTCATCTGCCACTACTTGAAAGTTTTGGTCTACTCCGACTTCGCCAACTTGAAGAGTGGCCTGTGGTTCAAAGGGGTCAGCGCGCTGCAGTACCGCCGCAACATGCGCGCTGATATATGCGCACACGCTATGGGGGAGTTGCTCCGGAGGCTAGAGGAAGATGGCGTGGATGTTCCTTCTCAGGAAAGCGGCACCACCACCAACACGACTTTGAAGGAGGGTGCAGAGGACGGACAACACACAGAGCAAAGACGTGTGGACCGGCTCGAGGCGGAGGTGTGCTCCTTGAAGCGCGAGGTCGGTGCGATGACTGCAGGATTCGCCGCAATTGGGCAGGTGCTTGGGATGTCGAGGGAGGAGCTGATCTCTGCCGGCGAAAACATGCTGCATAATAAACCCTGTGCTGTGCAGGGAGCGGGAGGTAATGATCCGCGCAAGCACGGCCCAACCACTCCTGTACGGCCTTCAGGATACACGAAGCAGCTGAACGACAGCCCTGACGAGGATCTGGTGGGCTCCAACACGAGAGTGTCGCTCGACAGCAAGTTCGCGTCAGCCGTTGGAGCGTACCCCTGCTTCCCGGCACATCTGCCGATCCCCGGGACGGTTCCACACTGGCTGTTGTCGCGCCAGCAGGGAGCTGCGGTTTCACTAGTCCAGCCATCCTATCCTGTTTACGGCATCGCGCAGAGCGGTGCGGGCGCACACCCCGGCTTCACAGCTGTGCCTAAGCAGGAGCCCTTGGCCGGAGGAGAGGATTCTGACGAGGACGGAGAGGGGGAGACCGAGCCAGGAACAAAGCCGACCAAGTACACCGGGGTGTATGTGGAGGCCGATACAGGCAAGTTTGGGGTGAAGGTTGTCGCCAAGGACAAGGACGGAAAGAAGGTAACGAAGAGAGTCGGCGCTTACACCACGATAGAGGAGGCAGCGTATTGCTACGCGGCAGCAGCCCACGTGCTGAGGCCAGGCATGGGCACCAGGAACTCTGTGGCTTTAACACCGGCGGATAGGGCAGCTTTGAAGGGGTGCACTTCTAAAGTCCTAAAAGTCCTGGTGGATGCCCGCATGTGGTGGCGCTGGAGGGTATGGAGGGAGGCGTACGAAGGTGTGATGCGGAAGGCAGCGCGGGCCAAGAAGAATGCAACGCCTGCTAAAAGGGGGAGACCGCGAAAGGAGAGTGGTGCGCAGGGTGGTGGCACGGCAGGAGAGGGTGAAGGAGAGAAGGCTGGAAGTGAGGACACTGAGATCGTTGCCATCGAACCAACCAACAGCAGGGCGCTTGGGAGGCTCCGCAGTGCCGATGCAAAGTCCACGGATGACAAGACAGATGAAGCTGTTCGTGGGAGGCAGAAGGATGGTGCTTGGGATATCAGTGGGAAATGAGAGTGTACTGTGGGATAGAAAAAGGCATCCGTACCCGACTGATGTTTGCATGCGTGTGGAAAGTATGTGAAATCTATCGTGTCTGTACTATTTTGCTAGTAAATGATATCTGGAGTTGAATGTGGAGGTGTTACGAATTTGCATGATAGCAAGTGTACCGAAGACGGAGTAAGCGCAACTGATAGCGAGAGGACGGGTTTTCGGACAAAAGATGACGGGGATCGGTGGCCGATGCGTATTCGCTTACAAAGATGACAGGAATCGTGGAGGTTGTTTCCGAGTGGTTGTCAGAGATTGCCTTTAATTTGATTGGAGGGAACGGTTTTCACAATGGGTGTTTCCGTTGTTGAGCAATGTTCACTGGGTACCGTATACTTTGCTATATCAATCCGAGCACTAAGGAATGCGTACGGTGCACTCAAACACTGTCAACTGGGCACAATGGAGACTTCCCTTGCTTCCGAAGATACTGGCAACTTGGGGCGTGCACGGCAGGTGTCCCAGCCTCCGGCGTACCTGCGCGCGGCATATCAGCTTGCAACTCCTCGTGGGCGCATGGCAAGGGGGACTCGGGGAACTGCTTTGCCTAAGCGTTTGACGTTTACCAGAGCGGGAGGTGGCGGAAAATCTGCTGGTGATGGTAATCACGGGTTTGTTGCGCATGTTGCTCGAATTGTTCCAAAGAACTGAGGCGTTTACAGTCTCGTATGATTTTGAATCCGTTGGCATTCCCCTTCCTTCCGCAATGGAGCTTTTAAACCCTCGAACTTACATTCTCGTCCGTCTACATTCCCACCACTTCAGAGACTACGGGGGGGGAGACATCTGACGCTTCTCCCGGCAGAGTAGGCAAGCAAGCGGCGGAGAGTGACTCGCCAGATTCGCGTTCCAAGAGCGACGTTGATCCGCGTCTGGCTCTCCGGGATCGAGGCGAGGACGCTGACGGGGGCGACCAGGCACGCATCGAGAGCGACGTCAACGCTTTCGAAGAGGAGGATGACGAGGATGTGGGCGACGCGATGCGCGCGATGTTCGAAACCAACACGAACCGCGAGAACGCTGATGTCCCAACCAATGGAGAGGAGGTGCGCGTTTCTGCGGGAGTATTCAGGAGCCTGCTTAAGTCGCAAGACGAGAGCGCGAAGAAGGTTGCCCGCTTGGAAACCTTGCTTTTGGAGGCACTGGCGAAGTCCGATGGGGGATCTCGTCGCCGCAAAGCAGAGCGGCAGAGGGAGCCGGGACAGGGATGCATGAACCCAAAGCGCCA